TCTGTTAGAGGACGACTATCCACACCCAAAACACGACGACGGACCTCGTCATTGCTCACCCGATGTTCTCGCCAGAGACATCCATGGTCGAATACAGAAATTCGATTGGCATCCTCAACGCGGAGGGGCCAGGTCTCGCAACCGCAAAATAGAACGCTACGGACTGCGATGATGTACACCCTTCTCTTAAGGGACAGTCGGATGTCATGGCGGTGCCACAGATAGCACAGGGTGACGAAAGCTGATCCAGCTTTCGCTATGAGTGATGTGATCCCCCTCTTAATCCACTACCAGCTGCGATCAAGCTCCCAAGATAGTTAAAGCTCTCTCTCTCTCGACTATGCGTCGAGAGATCGGAAAAAAACTACCCAAATAAAACTGCCTCTTGGGCAAAAACCCAGACCGCTTATTCAAACTGAAAAAAAACGGCATGAAGCTAGGATCAAGAAAAAAAAACTGGGAACAAACTAATGAGGTAAACTGATGAATGATGTTGTCAATATTCCGGTAAGGTTCATCGGGTTACGAACAACTGCCACATATTTGTTTGACAATCAACAACCAAAGCTCAAAGTAAAAACCCATATTTCGTCGGAGACCAGATTCGATGACAAACCAAAAAACGAAGGAAGGATTTCACAGACTAGCCACAATGAAGCTGTCAGTGTGAACCAAACGCTACTCTGGTGCGAAGGCGAGAACCATAGGGAGCCGGTAAAAACCGATGAGTTGAGTCTGTCCTACTAACCTGTAACAAGGTTCCGATCCGATGAGACTCAGTCGCAGGCAGTTCGGGTCTGTGGCTCACGCACAATGGTCGTTGTGCATCAAGCGGATCCACGTGTATGATTAGCGAGTAAGCTAAAATTGGACGAAACAAATAAACTGGCACTGAAGACAACAATGCTGGGTCCATTTGAGAGTGATCGACACGTCTTCAAATGATAGCCCATGCGGTGCGGTTTATTCAAACCATCAGATATAACACAGTAACTTACGATTGACATTGATGGGAATAACAAGAGAAATGTACAGAAAGCAACGGAGTGAACCGGTCACGTCTGTTTACAAGATTTTATAGATCATATATCAAAGGATTATTGCTTCTTATTGATCGATTTATCCTTGATTTAGCCCCTGCAAATTCACAGAACGAGGGGTCTGTTTATTGTCTTCAGTGTGTATCTAATGGACGGCGAAGAGCTGTTTCGTTCTTTTTAACAAGCGTCACCGGTGTACGACATCGTGGTGATCTTACGAAGGTTCGATTAATGAAAATTTCGCTTTGGGAGCCGCAATCATTCTCTAGCGGTACCGGTGCACCAAACCCCAATGCATATGCATTGCGAGTTTGGCAGCGATCAGCGCAGTTCGCTTCCCTGTATTTCTCTGTACGATGATGATGATGATAATGATGATGATGATGGGTCCGAAGTTCAAAGCCCGGTTGAGGGGGGGGCAGTATTAATCCATTATTGATGGGGTCTTACACACAGTGCTTGGTTCTTTTGGGCAACTACTTATCCCAGTTCCAACAAATATAGCCGTCCATCGTGCGACACTATCATGAAAGAGGGATGAAATTCGCAACTCAATAGCAGAGGCTGCGTAAACTTCGCTCAAGAAACATAGTCCTAAGTTTTGCCTAGCAAAGTATGCTGGAGTGTTGCTCAAGATATTGACTACGCGTGACTCAGTTGACCAAGTTCATGAGCAATGATGTGCACATCTTTGTCGGGTGTGCCGTAAGCTTCTCAAATTCTTCAAACACTGTGTATGGGAGGAAAATTAACTTTGTTAATTAAAACTTCAAGTTCTTACTTACATAAGAGCAATATATCCTTGGGATAAGACAAAAGCATAGATCCTACGGTTTAGTTGACCTCAACAAGATGCCGACAAACGCGGGATAAGTCAAAAGTATTTCATGTACTATATCTAACCACCGATTCATTTGAGACTGGAACTCCACACACCCCATCGCATGAAACGTGTATGTATTACTACTATGACAACCAGCTCACACAGAAGTGTAAACGGAGTGAAACTTCAATCTGTTGCTTCCCGAATGTATGGCGGAGTTTATGAGTTGAGTCAGTCAGTCAGTCATCATCATCATCAATGTACAGCGAAAAACGGCAAAGCGAAACTTCACTGATTGCTACCAAACTCGCAATGCATAGGAAGTTTGTCGGAACATGTAAGGTGGACAAAGACTGGACCAATACGAGGGAAAAGGAAGAAAGTGAACCTCTATGGTCAACACAAAAAGTAGACAATCGAACTGTGCATTCTGGTGTGATAATAAATGAAAACAAGAACCTCACTGGTGTCAGTTCGCTACCATATCCTTCAATATGTTCAACCAACCAATTACAGCGTATTTCAGACCTCAACCTGGAAGATGGGAGACACCTTCTCTACCTGAAAGCTCTGGGCATTTCTTAATGCCTCGTTTTCACATTACCTGTTGACCTCCACGTGATTGCCTTCAGCTGCGGCTGGTCATCCGTCCCTTGTACCTCGCGAAATGCTCCCATACGTCTAAGCGTCTCAAATAGCCCCTGCTGAGGAAGCCCTACTCACTGCTTTCTCGTGGCGGTGTTTTCCCACCAAAGTGAGAGGACGAAAAGCCGAGATCCGGGGCTATAACTGGGTTGGTGGACCACTGGTCGTTCACCTAGGTGTATTGGGCCCCTTGGACGTCTGATCCCGTCCGAAAGGAGTATGATCCGATGAATTGGACTGGAATGCAGCTTTCACGCACCTTACGGGTCAGGCTTTGGCTAGCCGAAGGTTCCGGTTGTGAATTTCTCAAGAAAATTCATCTGCCTTGACCTGAGCAACCTGGCAGTATTCAGCCCACAAGCCATAAGCCAATCATGGACCTTTTCTTTTTTATGAAGATTATTGTACCATGATTTGCCTGGCACACAGTCTAGATTCAGACAAGTGTGGAATATAATAATAATAATAATAATAATAATAATAATAATAATGATAAAACGCATTCACCGGAGAACATTGCATCGGGATAAAGCTGAATCGTCATTTCTAAAGATGGTTATTTTTTTCAGTCAGAGAATGCAGCAAAACAACGATAGGGAAATAACACTTAAAATCTCACAGACGGGAAGGAGTTTGCCATCCGGTGATAGAAGCGCCTGAAACTTGTTTCGACTCAGACCATGCCAGTAAGAGATGGCCAAGGTTTGCCCAGGCCGATAATTCTCAATGACCAATTGGTCTGCCGGACGTTTGAGACGAGCTCGTTGGGCTTGACCATGTAGTAGGTCCAGCTGTAGTGACACAGAGAAAGCATCTAGCGAACACAAAAATAAGTATAGGAAACTCACGTGGTTGTTAGATTGGGTAAAAATAGCAAATGTCAGTAAAATGGTGGTATTTCGGGGATGATAACTAGATCAGACGTCTCCCTTGAAATCACCGGGGGTTGAAATAGAATTCCCAAAAATGTCATAATAAATGAGTTGAACGCCTGGATAGGTCTGTTGATGCGTACACGCCGGTAACCAGACCCGTTGTTCAGCGTAATTCAACATGACCCGCCCTCTTGAGTGGAAAGATTTGTTCCCCACCACGAGTTTTCGAGTGTGCCATAACCACAGAAGGCCAAAAATTTTAATTATCACTAAAACTTATAATTTCAAGTTTTTCGGCAGTATTCTCATTGAGCACAAGGTAAAACTGATCCAGTTACGATCAGTTGGTTTCCCCCAATCGATTGCTAATGAACCAAGAATTTTAAGCATTCGATTAACCAGGCGAGGGGTGACGGGGAAGTTTGAAAATCGATAAAAAAACACATTGATGGAAATGGATGNTGAAGAAAGAAATCACTACTACTACTACTACTACTACTACTACTGATGGTGGTGGTGTTAGTGGTTTAGTCGCTGTCACCCGCATGCTATGGTCCCTGTGGTTCGAGGTTCAAGCTCACCCCCTCCCCGGTGTTAGGCAGCTTTGCTATCGACCGGTTCTATACCACGCGTGATCTAGCGGGGCCTTATGTGGTTCGCCCTAATCCAAGTTTCGTGGGGTTTAGATAACCGCTTGCCGTCACTGAACAGCAGGTCTTCATGACTATGGGGTCCGCCCCGTCAGCTGTTCATCACACACTGGTGTATAATTTTTTTTTTAATTACAGAGCAGAAAATATCTCCCACTCTCAGCCCAATGACATAGGTCATTGAGCAATCATAGTGGTCACCTGTACCATACGCTCAGAATCACTGAACAAATTTCTCTCTTGGTTATATCATTTCCTGTCGGCTATTTATTTTACTAGTCACTCACCATTCCTGAATGTGAGTGATAGAAAGTTAGAAAAACAGGCAACTATGGGATACTTTTTTTATGACACA